CCCCCCCCCCCCCCCCCCAGCCCGACTCTTGACTTTATTTTCTTCATTTCTGACACAAATCCCACTAGGGTAGATTTCCTAACTCCTGCTTGGCCCAAGACATAGACTGTCTGAACGCAAAAAGAATTGTTCCAGCCTGGCTAGCTCTGTAACAATGGAGCTTAAGGGCAGGTCTTCACTCGTTGCACCAGAGATCAACGTTATGGCATTTGATTTAGCGGGTCTAGTTTGCCCCCTTAAACTGAACACTGAGGGCAGCTCTGGCTGGCTGGAACAGCCCATGTCTGTGGTGGGCCCAGTCCCCTCCCACCATAGATTATATGGTGACTCCCCAGGAACAGGCTGGCAGGAGCTGCTGGCCCCACTCTTGGCGGGGGGGAGGGAGGGTTGACTGCAGAGCCTACAGTGGAGCCTCCCCGGGAACAGCGCTGGCAGTCCTGCTCTCCAGGAAGCTTTACTGCAGGCTCTGCAATATAGAGCTTAAATAAGCTTTATATTGCAGCGCCCACAGTGTGTAACAGCTGGGATTTTTAGCGGTTACAGTTACCTTTTTAAGCAAACCTTTAGTGTCCACTCCTCCCCTCCCTACTTCAGTCCTGACCAAGAGACACCACCCGCATGGCTCCTGCATCCTGAGCCTATAGCAGCCAACAAGGAATTATCACCGGGCCTTTGTGATGTCGAACCCTGTTCACTGGGACCTAGGCTGACTTCTGCCACATGCACTTTCAGATTGCAACAAACTTGGGTCTCTTCTGAGGCGCTGAATGGGGACTGATGAGCTATGTGTGAAAGGCTTTTCAGCTGTTACCAGGCCTTTGAGTCATCCAGCCTGTGTAAGCGATCTTCTTAAAGTGTAAGGCGTATGAGCAATAACTCCCCCATAGGTTGTAGAACCTCTGATCGTTCAAAGAGCTAAAAATGATTTTGTTATAACTTTATATACCATCCATGTCTAGGTTTTGTGTAATGAGCATCCTTGCTGATCTACTGGGCTTTGCCCTAGAGCCGTTTTGATACTCCAAGGAAAGCAGGCGTTTGTGTTATGAATCAAAAGTGGGGCGCCTGTAAAGCTAGTTCACCAAGCAAACAAAAACAAATGCTCTCTGTCTATTGTTGCAAGCAGCCTGTGTAAATCTGCTGAGTACCTGGAGAGGCAGGTAAACCAGACAGAGTCCTCTGTTGGATACAATGATCTCTCTGTGGTTCTCTCCGGCATTCAGGGCTTTGACAAAAGCGGGACAGGGCTATAAATCAGCATGTTATCTGCTTTCTGAAAGGCTTGTTTTCCATCTCACTTTTCTCATCTCTTAAATGGCAAGGAAGGAAAAAAGCTCAGTGTTCCCCACCGAAGCTTTGCTGTCCAGGCTGGTGCAATTCTATTGGGCTGTACTGCAGGATGTAACCTGGGTTGATATTTTTTTTGGTGATGTCACAATATTTAGAGATGCTTTTTGTCACTCTGGTGTTGACATGTGCTATGAGGCTGAACTGATGAAGCAGGCAAGGTCTGTAAAATGCAGTGGAGCAAGGTTAGTGAATTGCGGGAGAAGGGGACGTACCGGGAGAGCAGAGCTGCTGCTGACTCTCTCCAGTAGGTTATAAATCAGTCTGAGTGGTGTCACTCCTGTGAGATCTGGGAGGACATCCAAGTCCCACAGCTTAAACTGAGGTGTTTCTTCCGACCTTTAGGCTATGTCTACACTACAAGGTTTTTGCGCAAAAACTGGTGGAGCGTCCACACCTCAAGTGCATTTTTGTGAAAGTAAATCGACAGAACAGAGAGCTTTTGCCGGTTTTGCACTACAGCTCTTGCACAAAAACCCCCTGAGGAGCAGCCACACCTGCCTTTTTACGCAAGAAACCCCTATTGGAAAAAGCACAGGTGCTCTGATGGCCATTGTGTGAATCAGAGCTTTCTTGCACAAGAGTGTGGATGCTCTCTTGCAACAAGAGCGCATCGCTTTTGTGATGCACTTTGAGGTCTGGACACGCTTTTGCGTAAGAAGTTTTTGCATCAGAACTCTGCTGCAAAAGGCTTCTTGTGCAAAAACCTACAGTGTAGACAAAGCCTCAGGTACGGAAAAGAGTTGTGTTGTGGTTGTTGTTGTTGTTTTTTTTTTTTTTTTTTTTATAATGGTGATTTCAGGAGTCCAGTTTGAAATCTCCAAAAGGGGCCTGATTTTTCAGACCACTACCACTTCCTGCCCTCTGCTCATTCAAAGTAGCCAGATGTCCAAAGTCTTGTAACGAAGAGGAGGACTTCTTTCATTCTGTTACGTAGGCCATGTGCAAATCAGTAAGTTCCTAACAGTGGGGTTCACATGTCAGTGTGGGAAGGATGAGAGAATGGGTCTGGAATCAGGACTTTGGGTTTTGTGTTCGACTTTGCCACTAATTCAGTGTATGGTTTCTACCCAATCCCCTGGGTCAAGTCACTTAACCTCCACTTCTCCATCTGAACAATATGGGGGGGAGGGGAGATGAGATACTTGACACAGCAGGGATGTGAGGCTTCATGCTGGAATTTTCAAAGGACCCTAAGGGACCTCGGCCCCCAAGCCCTCCTCAGCAAGAATGGCGCATCTGAGTGTGTGGGTTCTGCAGCACCTGCCACCCAAAAGTTGCAAAGTAACAAACCGATATCCTGGAAGTGACCAGCATGTGTCCTGGAGAGAGAGAGAGAGTAGCATCCTCCTGTTGCTTACCTGTTAACCTGTCACATCCTTAATTTACATGCAGTCTGCTTCAGCATCTCCTTTAATGAGTGATGCTTAGTGGTTTTGGTTAACTGGGGGCAGGGCTAGCGCAGCTCACTGCCCCCCACAGGAAGGGGATTGTCCAGCCCCGTGGGGCTCGTTATGGACAAGGGCTGCTCTAGAGGCACTAAAAAAAAAAAGGCACTAACTACATTGCTCAGGGGTGTGAAAAATCCACACCCCCCAACTGACGTAGTTATACTGACCTAATCTCCTGTTGACAGGAGAGCTGCATCCATCAAGGCAGCTAAACCCCTTGGGTAGGTGGATTAACTACATCAGTGGGAGAAGCTCTCTCATCAGGCTAGCAATGTCTTCACTTAACTGCTCTCTGTAGCGCTATAGATGAAAAACCCTAAGGGTTGAAAAGTTTAGGATTTGCCCAAGATGCGTTTAGGGATCCTTGTTGGCTCTTGAGAGGCCTGACTCTGTCCTGGAAATGCACATAATGCACATTCAACTTGTGAAACTCCTTGCCAAAGGATGTTGTGAAGACCAGGACTTTAACAGGTCCAAAAAGATCTAGATAAATTCATGGAGGCTAGGTCCATCAGTGGCTATTTGTCAGGGTGAGTAGGGATGGTGTCCCTAGTCTCTGTTTGCTAGAAGCTGGGAATGGGTGACAGAGGTGGATCACTTGATGGTTATCTGTTCCATTCATTCCCACTGGGGCACCTGGCATTGGCCACTGTGGGAAGACAGGATACTGGGCTAGGTGCACCTTTGGTCTGACCCAGTCTGGCTGTTCTGACCAGAAAGCCACGTAAGAGTTCTAGTCTCAACCCCAACATAGTTTTTAGTATGAAAGAGAATAAATCCAGGCAGCTGGCTGATACCAGTTGAAAGAACCGGTGGTCCTGAGGATGTCTCCATTCCTTGCATGTCCTTGCTTATGCCAGTTTGGATCATTGTAGCTGTAGGCTGGGGCAGGTTCTTGCTGTAACACATGCTAATGCTCGAGGGTGCTCACAGCATTCAAGTCTATCCTCTGGTGGTGACTGAAGCTTTCCAAAGCAGCGTGAGCCACTTCAAGGTGTGGATTTTCCAGGCCACATCCCATCAGTTGCCTCTTTCTGCCTGAGGTTTTAATTGAAAGACCATTTAGAAGCATGCAGTGTTAAATGCCAATGCAGAGGGATGGATTGCAGGGACTTGCATGGAAATAATTCCATCAGGAGATTCACTTAAGTGACCTATGGTACCAGGGCTAGAACGGTTTTTAAGTGATGCACTGCAGCTCATTAGTTGTCTGCTGTAAATCTACCTATGTGATAAAGGCTGAGGCCTTAAAACCCCCCATCTCTCTCCAGAGCCCTACGTACATGTCCAAAGCCAGGGTACGGCCAGGTAAAAATGCAAGTGAAGGGTTTTTTAGTTTCGCTGACTCAGTTCCCAGAAACCTCATTTTAAGTGACCCGAATGTTCCAAGAAAATCTATCATTAAGCCTGCTGGATTATGGGCCAAGAAAGGCATGTGATACTCTGCAGCTGCTGCCATCTGTCTATTGTAATGGGAATAATAGACATGCAACTAATGGTCTATAATCTTATCAAAAGGCTGGTGGTAATTTATGACAGCGGGGAACTAATGATTTGTCACCAGAACCGTACAGGAGAACATCTCGCAGTGTTCCACAACAGCAACACTGCCAGCATTCTTAACAGTCTAAAGGGTTTTTTTTAATCAAGCTAATATTAATATGACTGTATGAACGGGGAGATGGTCTATAGACCCTCTCATCTATAGACACTAGCTTTCAAACTCTATATTGCAGTTAAATGACCCAAACCTGTTTTAATACCTAAAAATTATTGCAATAACTTGATCTGGCATTCTCTTCCCCATATCTGTTGTAGTAAGTTGAGGGTCAGTAACATGGAGTTAGCAGGCCTAAGGCCTGCAACATGAAAACAGCAACAGGCCTGCAATCTAGAGAGCAAAACTTTGGTTTAGTAACAGGAGCCAAGAAAGAGGCCCTATTAATAACTATTAATAACTGTGTAATTGTGTAAGTTAGGTCGAGCATGGAAGGACACAGGGAGGCACTGGGTACAGACTGTGAGCCAAAGGGGAGTAATGAAACATCTTAATAAGAAATGTCTTGGTACAAAAACTCCCTAAAAACTAATGCACATACCGACCTAGGTTCAGGACCAGGTCGAAATTGACAGCATGAAGGACAGCATGAAGGATAGCTTACCCCTTTCGTAAGGTGAGGGGTGGTAACTAGGCAACAGAGGGTGGTAACCGGTACGTAAAGAAATGATGTAAGTTGTTTGTACCTGTCTATAAAAGGACCCTGCAGAGGGTGCTCTCCGGCCGACCTTGGGGGGGGGGGGGGGCCGCACTAGGCGCCTAAATGGCAGGGGTCATTGCCTAAACTTACAAAACACACAGTAGCTTAACTTTGACTAACTGCTGTTAATATCTGTTATATGGCAATAGGCCTGCCCGGTGTTGGTACCTTGTCAACGCGGGCCGTAGTGCCCAGTGGCGTAACATTGTACCGATCTCTGTTACCAACTGGTAGAGCTTCGCATTTGACAGTAAACCTGCTCGATTGATTTCAAACCTTGCCTGCATTTGTCACTTCCGGGGCCTCTCCGAGATCTCTTGTGTTGACCCAAGTGCACGGGGCTTAACACTCTAGATAAAGGGAGTACCGATTGTTACGCACACAGCCAAAAGTTTATCAACGAAGTAGAGGTCCTGTCAGGAGCGCGCCAGAACAACCCTGACCAGACGACGCTAACACTGACAGTCCAGACCTCTGAAGGTACCGAGGTACAAGAACACTGAGGTACGACATCTGTCACCCTCTACCACCCCTCGTCTATGCTTGTTGACTCTTTATAGGCCAAACCCTGGCTCCAATGAAGTTGGAGAGCACAGCCGACAGGCCTGTGGGTAACTAACCTGTATAGCATGTTTCATTCATAGGACTGGAAGTTGTACACAGTGATGTTCATTTTATAGATGGAGTAACTGAAGAACAGATTGCTTTTTGGCCAAGTTTTAAAAGTCCACTAGTTTTTGGGGTGCCTGATTTAAGACCATTGGGCCTGTCCTTCAAGGT